CCTCCCCCATGGTGTCCCCCCCGCCCTGGTGACAAGAGTCCCAACAAAGAGGGGTCTGGGGACCACCGGGGTGGAGGGGACACCCAAATATCTGCCCCCCCTTCCCCAGGGAGGGGACAGCCACCCACCGGTGGGGAAGGACAGATGGTGGGTACTGGCAGGATGGGTGCAGACCCCACCGTGGTGGTCCAGAGTCACTGATGTCCCCCCCCAAACCTTCTCCTGATGGGGCTGGGATGGGGGGGCAAGGGTGGGGGATGCTCCTGGTCCCCAACCCCCTCCACCCCCCCAACTTTCACTCGGCCCCCGCCTCAGGCTGGCCCCCCTCGAGCTCCAGGCAGCCGTTGAGTTGGGGGTCGGGGGCTTGGGGGTCGTATTCTTCATCCAGAAAGTCCAGGGAGTTGTTACTGGGGAGCCCCCGGATGGTGAATTTGTGGGAGACCTTGGTCCACTGCTCCCGGTTACTGGCCACCCTCTCGTAGAGCTCCGCCGCCTTGGGGAAGAGGTCCTGCAGCAACCTGGGGTGGTGGGTGGAGGACATCCCCCCATCAGCACGACAAAAGGGTGTGGGGGGGTGATGGGAGAGAGGTCCTCCCCCTTCACCCTCACCCCCACCCCCCCTTCCCAACCCTGGTGCCATCTCTGGTGGGTTCTCACTTGTAGATGGGCATGGCGATGTGCTCCATGAAGCTGATCTGCAGCTCGGGGATGTAGGCTTTCTCCCGGTCCATCATCTCCAGCGGGCGGTTGCCCATGGCTTTCTCCTGAAGCGGTGGCAAGTTGAGGGTGTGGGGGGGGAGGTGTCAACAGCAGTGACCATCGTCTCCCCATTCCCAGCCAACCCCATCCTACCCAGCCCCAACCTCCTCCAAGCTCTCACAAGAGCGTTGGCCAACCCCAACCTTGGCCCAAGCCCTTGGAGCTACCTACCAGGTCACCCTGGGAGAAGAACTCCTTGTAGATCAGCTCCTGCAAGGGACAGGTTGTCAGTGAGGGGGGAGACATGCCTGGGATGACCCCCCACCACCCTCCAGACCCCTCTCCACGTCTGCAGGAGAACAGCTCTGCGTTGGGGTGGGTGGTCTGGGGGGTCCCTGCGTGGAGGGACCACCTCCATGGGGCAAGATGCCCCTACGAGAGGCTGGTTGCCAGCACTTGGGGACATGTGGGTGACCTGGGTGGGGTGGTGGTATCTGGGGGGGGTCAGCCCCACGACGTGGCACTCACCGCGATCTTCCTGGTGGTCTTCCAGCCCTTGGTCTGGTCGGAGAGGTCGCAGGAGGTCATGAGCAGGCAGAGCAGCAGGCTGCGGTGCTGCTTGTTCTTGGGGTCGTAGCCCACTGCCGGGCAAGGAGTGGGGCAAGGGTTGGGGGGCTGGAGAAGAAGCCCCACCACCTCCATCACCCCCCCTACTTTGGTGGACATCCATGCCACCTCCCAGCCTTGGTAGGATGAGTTCCCACCATACACCCCCACCTCAACCCCAAGCAGAGGAGCTTCACCTTCTGCCATCTTCTGGAGGTCCTTGAAGATGCGCAAGTGGTGGGCCAGGTCGGTGGCCAAGATGATGTCCCTCATGAGGTCCAGCATGCGCTGGTAGTCCTGTAGGGTCGGGCAAGAGGGTGGTGGGACTGTGCCCCTACCAGCCCGTGCCTCCCAAAGGTTGGATCCAGGGATGGGGACTTGGGGGGCTGGATGGGGGGTGAGGGGTGAGGTGGGTTGAGGTGGGGCATCTCACCTTGCGGGAGAAGTGGTCGAAGATGTTGCAGCCTTGGCTGTTGAGGATGGCGATGGCTTGGGCGAAGTGGTGCCTCTGTGGGAGACGTCGGGGTGGTGGGTGCAGGCAAGGGGGGGTGGTCCTGCCCCACCAGTGAGATGGGAGGTTTTTTTGGGGGGCAGGGGGTGGATCTCACCTCCATGACGGATCCCTCCGAGCTGTAGAGCGCGGCCAGGACTGATTTCTGCAGGGCAGAGCGACCCAAGTCACGGAGCTATGGGGGTTGAAGAAGACCCCCCTCCCCCTCCTCCTCCATGGCCCCCCATCCCTGTGTCTTCATGTCCCCCCCCCAACCCCGTGCACGTCCCAACGCTGGGCTCGGCTCACCGAGGCCACCTGGAAGGAGTTATTGGTGCCTCTGTGGTCCAGGTCGTGGCACATGCAGGAGATGAAGAGGGCAAAGATCTCGATGTCTCTGGAGGAGGGATGGGGAGGAAGAGCCAAGGGGGGGAAGGGGTGGAAAAGGGAGGAGAAAAGAGGGAAACTGAGGCAGGCGGGAGTACAGGGGGCACCCCAGGCCGAGCCGGGGGATGGGGATGACAGGGATGGGAGGACATCTCCTGGTCTTACTCCAGGTAGTTGACGAGCTCCAGGTTCTTGTAGAGCAGGTAGCAGAAGTGGGAGACGGAGAAGGCGTGCATCCAGTTGTGGTAGGGGGGGTCCCGGTAGCCCTTCTTCACCATCAGGCAGAACCTGGGGGTGAGGGGGGGGACAGGACAGGGCCATGAGAAGTGGGGAGGTCCTCTTGGGGACCCCTCGCTTGCCCAGAGGTCCCACAAGTGGCCATGGGGGCCATGGGGGCAAGAAGGGCCCCCCGGTAGCCCTTCTTCACCATCAGGCAGAACCTGGGGGTGAGGGGGGGGACAGGACAGGGCCATAAGAAGGGGGGAGGTCCTCTTGGGGACCTCCGCTTGCCCAGACGTCCCACAAGTGGCCATGGGGGCGGGAACAGGGATGGGGACCCACCTGGTGAGCGTCTGGCGGTCCATCTTGTAGTTGTTGATGAAGTTCATGTCCTGCAGCATGCTGAGGATGGCCTGCGGAGGGGACAATTGGGGTGGCGGGGGGGGGTGACAACACCCATCAGGGTGCCCCCCTGTGCCACCCCTTCCTGGGTGATGCCCAGGGGTGCAGCCCCAGCCTTCCCAACACCCTGGGGTTGGGGTGCACCTCACCGAGGGCAGGTGGGGGGACGGTGGCAGTTGGGGACTGTCCCCAAGGTTCTCACCATGGAGGTGTCGTCCTCGGGGAGGGAGCGTGGGGTGTAGGTGAAGCTGGCGAAGTTGGGGTCGATGGTGGAGACGGGCTGGATGCCCTCGCTCAGCAGCTTGGTGTACTCATCATCCGACACCTGCGGGAGCCATTGCAGGTGGCCATCACCATGACCCAGTCCCCAAGGTGTCCCCAAGGTGTCCCCAAGCTGTCCCTGGAGCCACATCAGCCCCAGAGAGAGCAGAGAGCCCCAGGAGGGTCACTGCCACCCTGCCATGGGGTGGAATGTGGGGGCACCACGCTGGCAGTGGGGGTCCCAGCTCATGTCCCTGTCCCTGTCACCGTTCCTGTCCCCGTGCCACCTCACCTTCATGTGGTACATCATCATCTCGTTGGCCAGGTGGCTGCGGTACTGCGCCTCGTTCACCTTCTTGTACAGCAGCGACTGCGGGGCGGGAGGGGGGGACGGGAGTGCTGGGGGTGGGCAGACCCCCCCAAAGCTCCCCAACACCCCAGAATATCCCTGCTCCCTGGATGTGTCCTCCCCATCCCATCCCCATCCCAATTCCATCCCAATCCCATCCCCATCCCAT